ATAATGAATCGGTTTTCCAAGGGTACGCAATTCCATCTGAGGTTCTGGCCATCACATGTCCGTTGCTTACCTTTCATTTTTTTACAGATATCGACACTGTAGATAATATGCTCGGAGATTCTATGCGAATGCTCGTGAACACGATATCTAATATCCTTGGGGCCGTCATCCTTATCGCCATCGTCTTGCCTTGGTTCCTCATCGCTGTCGTTGTTGTATCAGTCGTCTACATCTGGGCAGCGAATTTCTATAGGGCCAGTGCCAGGGAGTTGAAGGTATGCCAAACATCTCGTCCTCACGTAAGGGTTTCGACTGACGATGCGCGCGCGGACAGCGATTGGATGCAATCTTGCGGTCGTCACTATATAGCCATTTCTCGGAGTCGCTGACTGGATTGGCTACGATTCGTGCGTATGGCGAGACGGATCGGTTCCTCATTGAGAACCAGAAACGAGTTGACATCGAGAACCGGTAAGCTTCCCTCCCGTCTCGTCTGGCGCAACCGATCTGCTAATCTCATTCATTAACCAGTGCCTACTGGCTAACATGCACGAATCAGCGATGGCTCGGTATCCGACTCGACTTCTTAGGGATCCTTTTGACCTTCGTCGTCGCAATCTTGACAGTCGGAACCAGGTTCAGCATCTCGCCATCGCAAACTGGTGTTACCCTCTCGTATATCATCAGTATTCAGCAATCCTTCGGTTGGGCCGTGAGGCAAACAGCCGAAGTCGAGAACAATATGAACAGCGTTGAGCGAGTTGTACGTCTCATCTTAGCTCGTATCTCCGCTCTGGACCCCCTGGTTAACTTGCTTGCTTTGTAGATTCACTATGCGCGTGAACTCGAACAGGAAGCTCCTCATGAACTTCCTGACTCGAAGCCACCAGCACCTTGGCCATCGAAAGGACATGTTGAGCTCAAGGATGTCGTACTCAAGTATAGGCCAGAGTTGCCCGCCGTGCTTCGCGGACTAACGATGTCCGTGAAGCCATCGGAGAAGATTGGTATCGTTGGTCGGTGAGTAGCTCGTCGCTGCTGTACGAAATGCCAGAGTCGGGGGCTAAAGTAGCGTACAGTACGGGTGCAGGAAAGAGTTCTATCATGACGGCTTTGTACCGTTTGGTCGAGCTTACCTCTGGCAAGATTGAGATTGATGGAGTGGATATCTCCAAGGTTGGGTTGACGGACCTTCGGAGGGGCCTTGCTATCATTCCTCAGGACCCTGTAAGTTTTCTTCCCGCATGAAGGTTGCAAGAATATCACTTACATATCGTTTGTAGCTTCTCTGTATGTGTCCTATTGCTGCAGACTTCAGCATCTACTGTACATTTTGCTGACATCCGTCTACAGTCTCAGGCACACTCCGTAGTAATCTTGATCCCTTCGGCCAACACGACGACGTAACTCTCTGGGATGCACTCAAACGCTCATACCTCGTCGAAGACAGGAGACAGCGTTCTATGGACACAGACGACGATGCTACACTGGCCGGTGGTGCACATACGCCGATGAATCGGTTCAGTCTCGACAGTCCCGTAGAGGATGAGGGCGGTAATCTGTCAGTTGGCCAGGTGCGTAGGGTATGGAGTATTGGCAATGCATCGGGGGTATTGACGTTCCGTGAATTTCAGCGGTCCCTTGTCTCACTTGCGCGGGCATTGGTTATTGATACGAAGGTGTTGATTTTGGATGAGGCGACTGGTATGTTCTCATGTTCATTCCACATGAAGTGGTAAAATGGAATGCTGACTATGCATTTTCAGCGTCGGTGGATTATGAAACCGACAGGAAGATTCAAGACACGATCGCATCCGAGTTCAAAGATCGAACTATCCTCTGTATCGCGCGTGCGTACTTTAAATTCTACATACTCTCGATCTTTCTTATCTGCAATATATTCCAGATCGACTACGGACCATCATAGGCTACGACAGAATATGCGTTATGGACGCCGGCCAAATCGCCGAATTCGACACCCCAGAGAATTTGTACAACAAGTCAGATGGGATCTTCCGTGGAATGTGCGACAGGTCGTCTATTACACTGGACGATATTATTCTCGCGGCGAAGTTAAGAACGGGGTGATGATGATTTCCCTTGCGACGAGATGGGACTAGTGATGAGAGGACGGGAGGTTCACGAATATACTGACGTTAACATTATCATTTTGTCTGCGTGATTTGAGATTGGGGCTTCTTGCTTTGTTGTAAGGGTAGATGAATAACGATAGAGTTCCGATGTATTTGAACGACATAAGTAATAGGAGAGTGCCGAAGATTATAAGAGCATAAGATGATGTTTACAAGCGAGCATTCTTAGGAATGCTCCTCATTGCTTGTCTCACTCCAAGGTCGGCGAGGACGTCCTCCGCTGCAAGAAAGATTTCCGTTACAATCCGTATTTGAGGACTGCATATTGGAAACACGACTTACCTCCACCGAGCAACGCATCGAAAGGTATAGTCCGATGGTAATGTTCGATAAAGCGACCCATCCCAGACTGGGTAATCGCACGTCCACCAAATATTTGAACAGCATCTGCGGCAGTTTCCTGGGCGGACCGGGTACTATAACTCTTCAAGAACGCGATAGGTCCTGCAAGCTTCGTCGCTTGCTCTTTGTATGACTGTGTTATCAAGAATATGTTCGTGGTCAGCTAACTCTGCGGATACTACATAACAGGAAAAGGAGACAGGAGACGTACCATATTGTTCATTTGGTGTGTGATGTTCTCTAACCACGCTTGAATGCTCTCTGCGCGTGAAATCATGCCTGCGATCTTGGCCCGGACGACGGGCTGAGAGTTGAGGGGTTTACCAAATGCTTTGCGTTGATTAGTCCATCTATCGAGGATCAGCAAGAGAATGAAAAACTGAACGAAATCGAAGTCTCACTTCAGGCATTCTTCAATTACTAGTCTTTGGCTACGAGCCACAGCGCAACACATGACCCATCGTTCATGGTTGAAGTTGCTATATATTCGCCAAGATCAGCGCAAATCTCCATAATGCATGCAAATGACGGACCTGAGGATAACAAAGATTCCTCCACCCTCGGGCCCGAGAGTATTCTCAACGGGGACCTTGACCTGGTCAAAGGTGATGTAAGCTGTACCAGCGGTAGGCGAGTAAGCCGTCTTAATAGGCTTGGTCTCAACGCCTTCGCCGCGTTCGACGAGAATGACCGTGAAGCCGTCCTCGGTCTTGCAACCGACTGTAAAGCTGTAGAAGTATAGTCAGCTGCAGGCTCAATGTGTATGCCAGTGTTGACGTACTAGTCTGCGAATCTATGAAAACTCCGTTTGAGCGCATTCTGAGAAGGGAGAGATGAGCAGACTTACGTTCCGTTCGTGATCCATTTCTTCGTCCCGTTGATGATCCAATGCTTTCCGTCTTCTGTCTTCGTAGCAGTAGTCTGCAGTCCAAACACATCACTTCCCGCATGAGCCTCGGAAATCTATTCGCCAGCAGCGACCATCAACTATGAGAATAATGTTTTCTGCATGTAAGAAGGTTGCGACTTACAGCTAGGCAAATAAATTTCTTGCCGCTTAGAACTTCCGGTACTATCTTCGCTTTCAGCTCTTGAGAGCCAAAATTCAAGACGGGAGGAAGGCCGATGACGCAGCCGCCTAGGATGCCATCGCCGTATCCTCGGGCACCGCAACGGACAATCTCTTGAGAGATAATGAGCTACATGTTGTTAGGATGAGGTCCTCGTTGGCATGTACTTTTTACAATGTGTACGGACCTCGTGGAAGTAATCAAACTAGACAATTGGCCAGTTAGAAGGATCGCCCGACTAGACACTGATCACCTACCTCTTCAGGCTTCACAAGTCCGTTCATCAGCGTGAGGCCCTTCAAGTGTTTACCGGGGCCCATACGCATAGCATGAATATTCAGGTCACTGTAGAGAGAAAGTAAGGCTGCAAGCTTAGCGACAGTCTCGATTTCACATCTACTTACGCCATCTTGTCAATCACACTCTGGGAGGGACGCTTGCCGTCCGCTTCACGGGCCTGCGTGGAGTTTGTGAGATAATATGTATGAAATTCCTGAATGAATCACGCACCTGAGCATCGGGGTATAAGTATTCATCGAAGAACTCCCTAATAGCTCGTTGGAATCGTCTATGGTTCTGCGGTACCCGCCCATATAAGCAATGAGCGTGCGCACGACGATTCGGCTGCAGACACAAACCTCGGTATAATACGGACTGTGATAACCATCCGTGAGCCAGGTCGGCTCAGCATATGGCACCTTACTGATAGCACCGTTGATTCGTCCATGAATTTGAGGCTCCTCCCCCTCAATAAGGCCAATTTGTAGACGTTTATATTGAGGACGTTCCAGAACTTCATAACGGTGAAGACCGAAGAAGGCGTCAGTGGCATCTTGCCCGGCTATACGTTCGCGACAGTGTGCATCAGGGCCTCAGCCGGGGGAAGGTGTGATGTTGTACATACGAATTCCTTCGTCTAGGAGGACGTTTGCCCCTCCTGGATGCAGGTTCTTGAAGCGTGTGAGGTCATAAACTCTCGAGTCGATGATAATCCACTAAATTCACGTCTCTCGGACTGTGTCAAGCAATCAAATAATAGAGTGCACTTACGAGGTCATTCTCCTTGTTATGCTGACAACACACAAATGCGAACATTCGTCAAGTGCATCATGTAGGTACGTGGTTCATATAGCTCACTACACACCTTTGCAACTTCCTCCCTGGTGAAACGCTTCAACGAGGTTGAGCTAGATGCCATAGCGTCCTCTGCAAGATGAACGTACAAGGGACAGGAGTGAAACAGTTCAACGTACAACGTCGGGGTTTGTTCTGTGAATAAATACCTCGCTCTTACGGGACATTTGTCCACAACCGCTGCCGTAGCAGGTCATCTGCCTTGCGATGCCATGTGAATTCGGATTTCGTCTATTGGACGTTGACTTTCCCTAATTGAGCACATAATGATCATGTAAAGAAGTACTGGCTTCGACCTTCGGTCCTTGTCGATTAGTGGTTAGATCATCACGTTGTGGTTGTTGTTGCCGCAAATCCGTGAAGACGGAGGCTCGAATCCTCCCTGGGACATTTATTTTTGTCACGTTTCAAGGACCCCAGTATCTCGGATAACGCCCAAGGACAGCCCACACTCCTCGTCTCTCCCTCTTCTCCTTTCCCCCCATTGTCTTTGAACCTGTAGTCCGTCCTGCTGTTTCTGCTACATACGATGCGCCGTGAGTTACGAGTCGTCTTCGAATCGTCGGGATTCAAACCAGAAAGATTGCTATCAAGGTTGGTCTACTTGATCTAGCAAATTTTATTGAGGATAATTCAAAGTGGTTTGATACACATATTAGTGGAAAAGTAGACTGAGGTCTTCTCAGTTTGACCAGAGGAAGAGCCAACAGCTGCACTGATATTGATCACTTTGTAAAGGCAAAGTTAAAGCAAGTAAATAAGATAAAATCAAGACAGATCAAGAGATGTTCAAGTGCAGCATTCTGATAGTAATATTATAGCTTACTTCCCTCCATGTACTATATGATGGATTCCTTCTTGTGGTTCTATGACAAATATTTACCACATATTCAGTAAAAAGTGAGTTTTCTATACTCACAAACAGAAACATATAATACAATAAAACTAACAGCACACACAAAAATCTGTTCAATAACCAAATCAAGAAATCATAGAGAGAACAAGAGAGAGGCTATATATTATATGATAGACTCAGAGCTAACACTTCAGAGCAAAAACACAGAAGAAAATAATAGACATTAGGGATACAACTGTGGACAAGGAGAAAACAGACATGAAGTAATATGAAGAGACGATGGTAGTGTTGAATAAAGGAGATGAGGGGTGGCGGAGGTATGATGAACAGTGATGGTATGAGATGTGATATACCTAGAGGTAGGGAGGTGGTAAAGGGTAAAGGGAAGAAAGGGAGACTTAAAGAGTCCTAGTGATCCAACTAGCTAGTCACGCAAAACTGGGAATGTACAAAAAAGATATTAAACTCATCACCATCACCATCACCCTCCACATCATAATCACAACTACAGCCCACAGACACCACCACCAATCACCAAAATTCGCGCTTCAAGCCCCATTCTCCCGCCTCGTAGCACCGACACTCCCATTCGGCCTATACATATACTGATGCGTCGCATGTGACGACGAAGACGTCGGCCTCGAATTCAAAGTCGGAGAAGCCTGTGTAGCAGGAGAATTCCCATACGCATGTGCATGTTGCGTATGCCCATGACCATGCGTAGCCGTACTAGGACTCGTACTACTATACGAATACCCACTCGGTGCCGTCCCACCTCCAACGCTACTCGACGTCGTAGAACTAGGGGCGGTATAACCCCCCGTTTGTGATGTCCTTCTTTGTTGTTGTGGTTGTTGAGGATGACTTGTGGTATGGGAAGAATGGGATGTTGAATGCGAGGTGTGGGAGTAGTATGCGTTTTGTCTGTTACTTTCGATTTGGTTGTGGGAGAGGACGGGGGAGGGGGTGTTGGCTGCTACGGTTGGCATTGGCCATGGCATACTCGAACTTGCTGTGGCGGGGGTACTGCTACTCGTTGTCGTCCCGCCGCCACCTCCCGAAGACGTTGAGGCGTTAGGCCGAGCTGCGATCGTAGGTGTCGTGCTCGGCGTCGAATGGGACGTGTGAGGTTGGGAAGGAGAATGCTTTGTCGTTGGGGTCGTGATAGCTGCAATGGCGGGACTGTGTGAGGGCGGAGCGGCCGTTGTAGGCGGTGGGATGGAGGAGGATGATGTCGAGGATGTCGCTGTTCCGTGAGTGGTGGTAGTGGTGGCAGTGGGCGCGCTAACTCCCGGTGCAGACGATGCGGTCGCAGCAGTTGTATCGCTGCTATTCGCCGCATGGTCCGTCTCTCGACGTCGCTTTGTTCCTCGCGTCGTACTTTCTTTGAGACCCATTGAGGTTGCTTTTAGGAGGATTTGATGTCTATAAAAGAAGCGAATTAGCGGTCAATACTACTTGGTTTTTACTAAGAAACCGACATACCTCGTCCGACTATTTCCCCACTGCTGGACAATCCGATCCCAATCAATCTCTCCCTTCCCACTACTAGCATCCCGATTTTGCTCCACAAGCTTTCTCAGCTTCTCCGTCTCCTCCTCCGACCAAGTCCCCGACTGTCCCCCCGCAGCCATATGACCTGTCGCAGCATTGAAAGTCGATATTGCACTGGTGGGTGGGGCCGACGAAGATGTCGAGGGCGGTGCCGGTGTTGGTGTGGATGCGGGTGCTGGTGCTGGTGCTTGGTATGCGGAATTGGAAGATGCAGATGCTGCAGGTTGGGGTGCTGGCTGTGGTGGTGGTGCCGAGTGGGCGGGTGGTGCAGATGAAGGTGCAGGTTGGTGCGGCTGGTGAGGTTGGTGAGGTTGATGAGGCGGATAGTAAGATTGAGCCGGTTGCGGAGGTCCGTAATTATAGTAAGGTGTTGTTGGGTATCGGGACCCGGGCGGGGCGTACATTGGTGGGTAATAAGCCGGTGCTGCATTCGGTGGCATACCAGGTGCGCTGAACGACATGACGAATTGGGATGGGTTGGTGATAACCGCTGCGGTACCCGCCGACGTTGCTGCTGCTGAAGTTGTCGGAGGAGGGGGCGGTGGCATTTGTGCATAAGTAGGAACGGCGTACATACTCGGAGGTTGCGGGGGAATCGTGCCCGCCAGTTGACTGGGATTTGCAAGCTGTAAAGGGTAAGCGATATGCACCTACAAGAGTACACGAACCGAACCCACCAAGTGATCACAAACACGTTTCGCCTCTGCTATGAGGCCTAATGGGTCGACCTTCGGGGCTGGGCCCATTTGATAACACTGTGCAATCACAACCGGTGACGCAGCTTTCTGCGAACACGAGGAAGAAAGTCTATCTGAGCGATGGGGACTGTACGCTGATCTTTAGGGAAATACGTACGATGAGTTCCTCAGCCGCGTTGTAAAACTCGGAACAAAGATTCAAAGCGCGCCACTGGAACTCGTAGAACTGCTGGTTCGTTGCCTGGCCTGCGGGCGCAGGGGGGAGATTGTAGAAGCCTGGATGCTGGGTGTTGGCTGGGGCCTTTGTGTTGGTACCAGGAGGAGCACGGGGCTTGCGATTCCGTGATCCTCTGGGTCGGCCTGGCTTGCGCTTTTCGGAACCATCTTCGGGAGCCTGAGTGTTGCTTTGGTCCTGGGAGCCTGCCCCGGCCTGGGACGCGTACTGGCTCTGCGCGGTGGATGTGCTGCGCGATGTCTGAGGGGGTTATGAGGTCAAGATAGTGCGCACGACGCACCCTGCGTAGCTGGTCCCTGTCTGGGCTGGTTGGGCGCGGGGGGACGAGTGCACCGACGGCGAAGGGTTGTTGTGGTGGTCGAGCTCCTCCTCGACGATCTCCTCCTCGTCGTCCTCCTCTTCCTCCTCCTCCTCGCGGTGTGTCGTCGCTGTGCCGCTCGGGGCCGCGGGCTGGGGCGCGTAGTGGGAGTATTGCGCGGGGGCGGGCTGGGAGATGAACGAGGGCGAGATGGCAGCCGAGAGGGGCTGATATTGGGAATTTGCCATAAATTTCGGATTTTTTGTTCGTCGGCAGACCGACTAGAATAAGGCTACAGCGGCAAAGTCTGTTTCGGAAAATACACAAACGCAAGATCTCGCGGACGGAGGATCCTTTCGCAGACTTTCTCCTCACAAAAAACAGGCGTTGCACCCCGTGGGAACTTCTCTCCCACGCCCCCAATCCGGCCGCGGCAACGTCCTTCTCTCCTTGCGACTCTTTGGCAACATTATCGACTTTCAGAGGGACACGGGGGTACCAAAGACTCACACATAATGCAAAGTCTATACCTTCCGAGCGAGCAATGAGCCCTGGGGAACATCCAGGGACTGCACGGAACCCTAGCACTAGGCGCCGAAACCCAACTTCGGCTTGCATCGCTTAGGTAAGCGGAGGTGTTTTACTGCAGCCCCGCTGCGCCGCACCCCGTTCTCATCATTCTTGTACAGTAATCCTAGCTTGCGCAGGACCCCCGAAAATACACCAAAATGTCGTTCGGATTCCCGAGATTTTTGAGCCAAAAACGGCCGAAGGCCGTTCCGCTTTCCGGAGATTTTAGGCCCAAAAAGAGGCACATCCCGTTCCATTTTCCGGAGAATTCAGCCCCTCCGGTGGGAGGATGGTCGGCAGTCCCGAGATAGCGGAGGTGGAGGCTCAGCTGGGCACATACATTAGTGTTTTTAAGACGAGTTTTTGTAGGTACAAGTGAACCACGTATTATGTCAGTACAAACTCAGCTCTCAGTCGATCCGGAGATTCATCAGGTCTTGCGAGAAACCAAGGGAGATCGCACGACGACTGGGCTGGAACGCGCCACACAATGGTTGGAAGGCGGTGCGGAAGCGCGGGAACTTGAATTGTGCAGGACCCGAGAAAGAGTGAAAGGCTATAATATCGTAGTACTGCTTTAGGTTTAGAATCATTACGTTCGCAGTCTTTACAGATGTTTCGCTGGCTCAGAGAGGCGTCGTGATGCTCTCAGGAAGCATGAAAACCTTTTTTGTAAAAATCCATAAAAATGCGAATTTTATTCAGATGTTGATATACTAGTCCCGAGAAAATCTGCCCAATCCCGGCATGTCATTCGGATTCCCGAGATTCCGCCCGGAGGGCGTCCCGAGAAAAAATGAGAAATTCCCGAACGACATTTTGGTGTATTTTCGGGGGTCCTGCTTGCGCCGTCGTATATATTTCTTTTCACGACGTACTTCTTATGGTCGATTCCCAAGGTTTACGCAACAGCGATCTCCTCGACAGAAGTTCGTCAGGGGTTTTGTTATGCCGTACGCGACGTACTCATCTTACAAACTTCTGTTAACCTTGAGGGCGCGCTGCCAAACTTCTCCTAACTTTCTTCGTATCGGTCGACTGTGTCACTGTGATAGCTTGACAGGCTGTCTGTCCCCCATTTCCATCACCCGTACGTTATTCCCCTGCACTAAACACGAATGTTCACTGTTTTCTCACATAGTAAACACCTTTCATATCGATATCGACCCTCTGACTGTC